CTACTTCCCATCCAACTCTCTGCTCATGGCTGGGGAAGCAGCAGAGGGTGGCTCAAATCCTTGGGCCCCTGAACTCACATGGGAGACCTGGAAGAAACTCCTGGCTCTTGGCTTCAGCCTGGCCCAGCACTAGCCATGCAACCATCTGGAGTGAACCCATGGAAGGAAGATCTCTCTCTGTTTCTCCTTCTCTCTCTGTAACTCTGCCTCTCACATACATTATAACAGACTGACAGAATTATAACTGCTTATGAAGGACTGTACTATTGTAACAATGTGGGGAAAATGGAATTGTATCATAAAATTCAAAGTTAAAATTTTTAAAAGTAAACACACAAATGGATACAGTTATAACCGTTACTCCCCTCATGCTAAGACAGTGCTAAGGAGAGGAGGTGAGATTTGCAAAAGGAGGGTGATGTGGACCAGAAATACAAGCTCCTGTCAGTAGAAGCAGGGCACCAAACCCGGGCATCAATGCACAAGGACCAAGGCTTCGCACGGCCACAAGATCCAGATGGCCTGTGGTGTTCAGGGCCCAGGTAGAGGTGACAGTGAGCAAAGAGCCAGTGGGAGGCCAGGTGCATTTGTGAGTAAACACCACCCACCTGGTGGGAACCTGGCTCTCTCCTCCAGCCAGAGTCTGCAGCAGAGGCTTAGCAGCTGCTGTGGCCTCCGGCCAGCTGAATAGACTGTCCTGGAAGGCCCCGCTGGCCCTTGACCTTGGCAGAGGCCCAGACACCCCGCCCCGAGGTCAGGGGCATTGGCAGACTCAGGGCGAGAATCGCAGACCGCACAGGCATCATCGGTTGCTCGCTGACACAACACAGGGGGGCACACATGGGGATGCTCAGATGCTGCCCAGAGTCAGGGACATTGCATCCCAGATCTGTGCCAGCTAGCTCACTGGGCACCTTGCAGCCCTCCTCCTCCAGGTCTCCCCCAGGGAAGACCCTCAGAACTTCACCCAACACAAGTATTGTGCTAGCCCTTGGGTATCTGGCATTGGGACAGGCCCAACATTGACCTTGACATTCCAGGGTCTCTAGCTCCCATGGCACGCCTTCACAGGTGCAGCTGCTCGCCGTAGCCACACCCCAGGAAGTGGGGCCAGGCTATTAACTCCCCCCTGTTCTCCACTGCCTCCTGTTCTTCCCCAAGCCCTCCCCGTCCCTGGCCCTCCATGTACTAGCCTGCCTCGCTGTCAGCATTTTTAAGAACATCGGAACTCCCTCAACCATGATAAGAAACATAAGAAATGAGGCCAGGTTCAGGCCACCCAGGGAGCTGGCAGAAGCCACCCCAGCTGGGGACTGTCAGGATGGAGTGCTCTCCCTGCCGGCTCTGGCTTAGGACAGCTGGGCTAGCGTTGGTCTCAGAGTATTTCGGGCTGGTTTGGGTGGCTGACCGGCCCCAGGAGCTGAAGCCTTCCCTGGTGTGGACCCTCTAAGGAGGGTCCCTCTAAGGAGGGGCGCAGTCCAGCTTCCTGGGACCCCGGACTACTGGCTGGTGCCTGCTGTTGTTGCAGGGCTGGTGATACCTCTAGCTGAGGTCCCATCTCCATGAACAGGAGATCTACAAGAAGCCAGGCAGAATCCATCTGCTTTGCGGACCTTGCACCTGCCCGCCAACCCCTCCCACCTCCGCTCTCCCCCAGGTTTCACATTCCCTCTCCTTTCTAGTCACCTGGACAGGTAACCAGGGCCACGGGCGGCAGGTGCTTTGGCTCCTCCCTCCATCAAAGATGGAATGCAATCACCCCACTGGATGCATGGGTGCTGAATACAGGATATCCCCCTGTGCTTACAAACATGAGCAAATAATGCAGGTTAGAAAGACCTTGAAAATCAGAAGCAAGATACTATAATCTGTGTTGAGGACTCCGGACATTGTAACAAGCCAGGGGAGGGGCAGGAAGCAGCATAGACTCCACTGAGTACAACATGGACACTTGGTGAGCATGGCCCCAGCTGGGGGCAGGCTGCTCCGCCGCACTGAAGTCATCTCTTACAGAGCGACGATTATCTGCAAGCTCCCCCGCCCCCTACGAGACAAGGCCTGGCTCGTCCACGCGGATCCGGTGTGCACACACCCTGGTCTCTCTTAGAAATTGAGGTGGCCCTGAGATCTGCACATGAATTGGCTCATTCAGTCCTAGAGGGTGTGCTCATGGGGGTCGGGAGGGGGCTCAGGGAGGGAGAGGGGCTGAGGACTACCAGCCCCCGAGCTATGCACACAGCCTGATCTGGCACCTCCCGAGCATGGCAGGAGCCTGGGTACACCTGCCCCACCTCCTGCAACGAAGCTTCCTTTTCTGTCAATCACGGGGCACTGGGACCCTTCTCTGAGCCTATCTCACACACTGCAGCCCACCCATGCCCTGTACCAGGACCCCCACCCCCAGCCTAGCAGGGCCAACCACCATGCTCAAGTGTGTTCCATCTCTGCCTTTCTGCTCACCTCTATCTGCAGGTCCTGGTTATGTTCCTACACCCGGAGAGACACGTGCCTGGGGTCTGCTCTCCATTGCAACATCATTCAAGGGAGGTCCCTACCTCGCAGCATAACTGTCCACAGAGAGGTGTGTGCTGGCCCTAGGGGCACACGGCCACCTGCCCTGCACCCTGGCGGGGTAAGGGCTGGCCTGGTCCCTGGGGAAGTCCAGCCTGGGTGGTCTGTTCTGGCTGTTCCTCTGGCTTCCACGCATGCCCTGAGGCAGACTCCAGCCCACGAGTCCTTATCCAGGCTTTGAGATAAGGCCTGGACTGCAGCTCAATAGCAGCCACGGAGGGGCTCCTGGATTCCAGGGCTCCATGTTGTGTCTCTCAGCTGAGGCCCCGGGACCCTCAGTTTTCTATTCTGCACTGTATTGTGGAATTCTTCACAATCAGAGCACCACTGCTTGTTCTTTATTTGACAGATTGAGAACCAGAACAAGAGTCCCTTTCCAGCTGACTTACTCCCCAGCTGGCAGCAATGGCCAGGGCTAAGCTGGGCAAGGATTGTACTGCAGGTCTGCAAGGTGAATGGCAGGGACCCCTCGCCATGGGCTGTCGCCACTGCCTCCCGGGACTGGCACTGGTGGGAAGCCGATGTCAGAAGTCAAGGTGAGGATTAAGTGCAGACATTCTGATCAGGACATGGCTTGTCCTAGCCATGGGGGCAAACGCCTGTTCTTTTGCTAGTTCTCAAACGCAAGTCGCAGCCATTTCGTGTTGCGCTGGGCTTATATGCAGGGTGTCCTCCAGCAAGTTTCCTGTGCTCACAGACCTCCACTTTTCTCATCTGTAAAATGGAGCAATGCTGCCACCACGTGGTGCTAGTGGTGTGGTGGGTGAGGGGTCATTCTGAGAATTTAATGAGATTCTGGAGTAAGAGCCAGGCAGTATCAGGTCCACTCTCAGGGACAAGCCCTAGTGACCCTGATAGGAGACCCTGAGCAGCTGCAGGGGCCCTCCCAGCCCGTCTGCCTGCTCACCTGGGCTATGATGGGGCACAAGGGGACTGAAATAAAGCCTTCACTGCGAAGCGAGCCTTTCACCTTCCTCCTCTGCCTGTGGCTTTAAGAGGTCAGGTGGTTTAGGGCTGTAAATTTCTGAGAGATGAGCTTCTGGGAGCTTAAAGCCTGGGAAGGGGAAGGTTGGTGATCCTGCTCCAGAGTCGGCCAGGGTCCGAGGAAGGTCAGCTCAGCCCCTCGTCCCGGGGAGGCCGATGTCCCCAGGGTTGGTGGGGTCTCCCGTGTTCCAGCACAACCTGTAGTGCCCACAACCCACCTGCTTCCACCACACAACACTCTGGGTCCTCACCACAGTGCCATCTCCCCATCTGAGAAGTCACCTGATGTGACTAATGTGGAAGATGCTTCCCAGTGACCACTCTCCCTGCTCTCCACCCTAAGCCTTGGCAGGTGCACGCACGGCCCGCCTGGCCCCGCCCTCCTGCCCCTGCCCCTGTCCTGGGTTCTGAGCCCTAGGCAGACCCCAGGCTTCAGAGTTGCTGTAGGACAAACGTCTGAGCTGTAGCCACCAAAGTCAGGTGGAATAGGAATAGATCGGGGACCTCAGGACAGCCCAGTAGAAGGTAGCCAGGCACCCAGAACCCTGCCCTGTGACTGAAGGTGACCCCTCCACCTCTGAGCGACCACCCCTCTTCTGCCCTGAGTTCCCTCAAGCAGGATCCAGGATGACAGAGGCAGCATTGTGACATCGCTGCTCGGCCACAGCGCTGCACTCCAGTGGCTGCAGTTGAGTCCTCTGGACCCTTCCTTCCTCAAGTCCACACGTGCCCGTGTCAGCACTTGGGATTGGAAAACCCAAGGCCACAGCCCTCGCCCCTTTGCTGGCTCGCCCTGTGCCCTGGTGGCCAAGGAAGGCTGTGCTGACCGCAGCCAGAGCCAGCCTGGACAAGCGAACCACGAGCTGTGTTGAAGCTGCCTGTCCCAACCTCGCAGCTTGACCTTGGACTTGTTCAGAGGGTGCCTGTTGCAGTGCCATGCTCGCGCTATCAGCTGGGAATACGTGCTCCTGGATGGGTGAATACATACACGTGCAGGTGGGAGAGGGGCAGAGATGACGACAGGCTGTCCTCCACATGCAGGTTCCAGCTCCTACCTGTGACTCCTCCCCGTGCCCAGCTCCTGGTGCCCGGGGCATGAGCCTTGGTGGGGATGGGGCCATGGCAGTTACAGGACTGCAAGTCATATTAAGTCCATTCAGAGCTAGAGGGGCAGCTCAAGAGACCCCAGACTTCAGATTTTGTGAGCCCCAAGTTCAAGTCCAGTTCTACCACATGACCTTGAGCTGGCCACAGCCTCAGACCGAGCTTCTGTTTTCTTTTTCCTTGAAGTGGGAACGTGAACCCTGGCTTCGGAGGACTGTCGGCAAGACTTGAAGAGGAGGCTGCCGTGATTGGCCTGGGGGCTGCAGTCCCACCTGCCGTGCCCAGGGAGGCCTGCTGTCCTCCAGCCCGGCCTGGGGCAGCGAGGGGCAGAGCCGGCGGTCATGGACGCAGGCCGAAACCACCCCAGCAGTGAAGATGGGGACCTACAGGTGCTGGTGCAGGAGCTCTGCCAGCTGCGGGCTAGGTGCGAGCTGTTGCAGACCCTGTTGGGTCCCTGCCCCAACTCTACCCCAGTGCCAGCCCAGGTGGTGGAGTGGCCAAGGCTGAGCAAAAATGCCCATAGGGCATGGACAGGGAGAGGAACTGTGGCAGGGTGGCAGGAGGACCGGGCTCTTTGACCTCAGCTTCTTCTTGACCTCGAACTACTGCAAGCCGAGTCTCACTAGGTACAGGTGGGAGGGGCTTCCCTCACACCCCTCCTGAAGCCAGCCTGTGGTACAGACACACACACACACACACACACACACACAGTGACAGAGAAGAGGAGAGATCTTCCAAGTGCTGATTCACTCCCCAAGTACCCACAACTGCCAAGGCTGGGCACAGTTAAATCCAGGAGCCTGGAACTCCAACCAGGCTCCCCACGTAGGTGGCAGGGGCCTAAGCAATTGGGTTACATTCTACTGTTTCCCTGGGGACATCAGCAGGGAGTTAGATCAGAAGTGGAGCAGCGGGGTCTCGAACTGGCTCTCCAATATGGGCTGTGGGTGCTGCGAGCAGTGACGTAACCACAGCCACAATGCCAGCCCCAGCGTCCTGGTTCCAATGGGGAACTTTGGTTCATATCCTACCCAAGGAGTGCCTTCAATTTCAGGCCACCCCCTGCCCAGCCCTGCGTGAGTGCAAAGGCTGTGAAAGGGAGCAGAATTACAAAGAGAGGACCCGGCCCTCCCATCACGGGAAGACTTGGGAGCCCAAGGAAGCTTAGCACCAGTGGGTCACCCCACGAGGGCCCCACGTGCAGATTTGTCCTGCATTTTTCAGAACTGTGCAGATGAGAAAGAGTGCTTCAGAGTCCTCTAGGGGCCTCCCTGCAGCCCCTGTTGGCACAGTGGATGGAAAGCCAGGTGGCCAGCCAAAGCCCTGCTCTGCCCACTCACCTTGACTGGGTCAGAGTAGGCAACTGGCTGGCAATTGTGTCACCTGTGGATTCCCCAAGAACTAAGCGTGAGGGCTAGGTGGGCGCCCTGCCCAAACACTAAGTGAGCCTGAGTACAGGGCACCCCACACGCAATCCCTGCCTGACAGTGGGGAAGGGCTTTCTCGGCCCCTCAGGATGATGGAGAACCTAGGACTGTGAGGTAAAGCCCCCCAGTCAAGGTCACCCCACCTGCAGGAGGAGGATCTGTCCCCTGGGAGGGGCCTTGGGGCACCAGACAGACCCGGCCTTCACTCCCCCGTGCCCCTTCGCCTGCCTCGGGTTGGTCTGCTGTCCCACACAGCAGCCAGCGGATCAGAGGGTAGATGCCCAGCCAGGTGACCCACAGACGGTGGGCTGGCAATGCGGGGGTCTCCATGCCCTGCTCTACCGTCTGCTCTGCAGGCAGAAGAAGCTGACAAGAGAGGTGGAGAAGCACAAGGTGTTTGAAGACTACCTGCTCCAGGTGCTTGAGAAAATCCCCAAGGGTACGTGTGCACCCAGCTGCGCCAGGCCAGCCTCCCTCTCCAGGGCCCAGCCCTGGGGCCTCGACCTGCTTACCCACAGAGTGGGTGGGTGTCAGGTCAGGCTGCTTGGTTCCAAACCCACCCACCCCATGGCTCAGGGCCTGGCCTCTGGCAAGCATCCAGGTCTTGATTTTGTGACCTGTACAATGGGAATATGAGCGCTTCCCACGGACTAGAAGAACTTGACAAGCATGGAGTAGAGTACTGGCACTTAGCTGACACCTAGCAAATGCCAGCCCTTCTTACTGTGGTGACCATGGCCCCACTGGGTCTGTGGGTTCTGCCAGCAGGTCAAACATGACTGCAAAGAAACCACAACTGTGCAGACTGTGGGCAGATCTATCCCGGGCATTCCCCAAACAGCCCAGGATGTCACCACTGCCATGCCGTCACCACTGCCACCCCCACCCCTTCCCTCGCAGCAGGGCCTGGGAGTTGTCCTGGAGGGAGTTGTTATACTGTGGGAGGATGCATGTGGCTTCCCTGTGGCTTCGGCTTGTGGTGCCAGGCAGGAGCCCAGCGCTGTTGTTGTGTCCACAGCCCGCAGGCACTGCCTGGCCCCTCTGGCCACCAGGGAGCTGCCTACCCCCACTGCATCACCCTGTCTCCTTAGGCTGCAAGGACCCAGAGGAGCCCAAAGTGGCCCCGCTGAAGGCCATGGTGGAGCACTACAGCCAGCTCCTGTCGGCCAGGCAGGACATCCAGGCGCACCTGCAGGCCTTCTCCCAGATGAACCAGGCCGCACACCAGAGGTTGCAGTCCCTGGAAGACAGCCACAGGGCTCTTGTGCCGGTAACTGCTGCTTGAAGGCTGGGGACTGGCCGTCTCCTCTGTGCCCTCCCCCACAACCGGGGCGGGTGCCACTGCAGAGTCCAGGTTTGGGGGTGCTGTGCCTTACTCTTTCCTGAGGCTCGGCTTGTGTGTGGTAAGAGCCCTGAGTCCTGACTCCCAGCATTTTGGGGTTCAGACCCCAGCTCAGCGACCTCCTACCACTCTGCCTTTTGTTTATCAATGGAAGCTGCTGGGAGTCCACCAAACACCAGCTAACCTGCCCCAAACGAGCGGGCCCCAAGATGTCAGAGCCTCCCTCTGATATCAGACAACTTCCTCCAGGAGGGGTGGGCGGGGGCTGCCATGCAAACCTGGGCAGGGAGAAGAGAGAATTGCCTAGGAATCCCTGCCAAGGATTGGAGACTGCCCCCTCGTGGCGGCACTGTACATCTACACCACCCGACTCCTTTCTGGAAACCCAAGTCCAGCCCAGCCCTGCACCCCACCTTCCCCAAGGAGCTGGTGGGCCAGGACGTGCCCCTTCCACCTCTCCCGGGGCGTTGAGCCACCATGGGCGGTGGCCCAGGGCATGCTCCCCCCGGTCATTCTCCCCGTAGAGCCTCAAGGTCCGGCTTTGCCAGCTGCAGAAGAGGTGCCACCGCAAGCATGAGCAGTGGAGGCAGCTGGCACGTGGTATTGCCTCTGAGGATGACGCTGACTCTGACCCTGAGCCACAGACCAGCAAAAGTCACGTGAGTCCACCTGCTGGCTGGGGGCAGGGTATGGACTGGGACTGCTGCCTCCTTAACACACAGATACACACATAGAGACACACAGAGAAAGATAAAGACACGCATGGGCACAGAAACACACACATAAACAGACACATGGACACCCATGTGAAGACGCAGACACACATGGACACAATACAGACAGGCACACTTGTGAAGACAGACACACAGGCACACAGAGACATATATACAACAGGCATGTGGACACACATGAACACATAGAAACATATACATGGACACAATACAGACACATACAGATGGAAAGCCAGACACACATGAGGCCAGAGACATACAAAGATGCACGGTGCCACATGCTCACACACACACACTCAACCCTCAGCTCTTCTCCGATGGTTGGTTCTCCAAAGGCTCTCAGAGGGGGCAGCTGTGCCTTTACAGATGGGAAAACTGGTGCCCTGCAGTCAAGGCCAGAGCCGGGTTCTCCAGGACTGGCCTGGACTGGCATGGCCGGAGGCTAGCCGGGCCTTGGAGGACCTGTGTGTTGGCAGCTGCTGTGTACTGGCCCAGCATCGTCATGACTGTCATGACTTCCCTCCGTGGCACAGGGTGGTCCTGCTGGCGGTACCCACAGCTGTTCTATGGATGGGGCTGGACATTCAGGTCATACTGCCCCGTCCTGCCCTGGCACCCTGATCTGCTGCCCCCTTCTCCCGCCCATCCCTGTTCTTATCATGATCAGAGTCTGTACTCTTCTGGCCTCCTGGACTGTGGCATGGTCCCAGGGACCAAGACCCTGTCTGCGCTTCACCCTGAGAGCGGAGCTGACCTGGCCATGACAATAGAGTCCCTTCCAGCTCTTTCTAAGGAGAGGCTCAAGGATGCCCTAGCTTCCCATGACCCTGGAGGCCTGAACTCCAGGACCCAGAGCTACTTGAGTGAGGACCATGACTTCTCCATACCCACCAGGACTGGATGGACCATGGGGCTCCCCAGCCACGACCACCCTTCCAAAGCATTTAGCCCTGTCCCCTTCACCCAAACCCCCATGACAGTTCTGCAGCCTGTGTGGGTGGGCTCCTGGGGCTGCAGGAGTGGGGTTCAGCTGCCGCCCCTCCTCCTGCAGAGTCAGCAGCTCAGCTCAGTGAAGTTGCTCATCAACAACATGGCCCAGCACTGCTGCTCTGGCACCCAGCGTGAGCTCAGCACCATGGGGCTCTTCTCCCAGCTTAATCTTATCAAGGTGAGCACTGACGGGTGGAACCCCAGAGCCCCCCACCACCCCAAGCCAGTTTCAGCCAGTCCTGAGTCAAGGTTCCCCCACCAAGTTCCTCCTCCATAGTTACATGGGACCTCTGGGAGTCCCAACCATGAGTGAAAGCATTCTAGCAGCAGGTGCACTGAGGAGCTTCTGCCCCACCCTGGCACAGCCCCCACACCCACATACATGATGCACACTCACACGGGACTCCCTGTACCAACATCACCTCTGGGAGGTAGAGGTGATGGCTGAAGTAGCTGAGTTTCGGTCAGCTCTGTGGGAAAGCTGGATGGTGTTTCTGGTTCCTGGCTTTGCCCACAATCCAGTCCCAGCTGTTCCAACCAGCCAACAGACAGAAGATGGCTGTGTCTGTCCCCAGCCACGCTCTGCCCCTGCCATCTCTGCCTCTAGAACAAACGCATTTTAAAAGAAATAAAAATTTGAAAATAAGTTGTTTGATGCCAAAAAACATTTTGAAATCTATGCATACCTCTTTTTCTTTTAAGATCTGTTTATCTTATTTGAAAGGGAGAGATGGGTCACTCTCCAAATAGCCCCAGCAGCCAAGGGGGAGCCAAGCCAAAGCCAGGAGCCTAGAACTCTGTCTGGGCCTCCTACATGGGCTCAGGGACCCAAGTACTTCAACCATTTTGTATTGCTTTTCTGGGAGCTTCTCTCACTTAACATGTTTCCAGGATTTATCTGTGTGGTTGAGCACATCCGTGTTCCTTTTTCTGATGGCTAAATGGGGTTTCGTGGTATTGACCATACTACCTTTCGCTCATCCAGCTGATGGACACTTGGGTTGCAAACATTGGGGGGCAGTTATAAGTACAGCTGCAATGAACATGTGTGTGCCAGCTGTTTGCTCATGTATGTTCTCAGTCCTTGTGGCCGTACACCTGGGAGTGGAATGGATGCATTGCTGTGTTTCACGTTCCGAGGAACCGCCAGACCATTCTAACGTGGCCACGCAGATTCACAACCCAAAGCCATGTAGAGATCTTTAATCCCTTAGGTTATATCTTTTTTTCCCGTGGTCTTGTTTTTGCAACGGTTGAAAATGAAATTGATTTTTAAAATTTCCTTTTTGGATGAATCACTATTGGTGCGCAACAGTGTTACCAATTTTTGTGTATTGATCTTGTATCCTGAAACTTGGTTGAATTGGTTAGCTCTACAGCCTTCTGGTAGATTCTTTGAGGTTTTCCTGTGTATAAAATCAGTTTATTAGCAAATAGTAAACAAGTTGATTTCCTCACTTTTAATCAGGATTAAATTGTATTTCTTTAACTGTTCCAGCCAGCACTTTTAGATGTTTCTTGAGTATAAGTGGCACTAAAAGTCTTATTCCAGATCTTAGAAAGTCCTCAGCTTCTCGTGTATGGTATTATTATATTGGGGTACCCTCCTTCCATACCTCAGAGTTGTTATCTCTGCCTCTGTTGAGATGACCGCATGATTTTGGGGCCTTCACTCTGTTGATGTGGCTGGTGCATCATGCTCATTGATTTGCATATGTTGAACCATCCTCACATCCCTGGGGCGTAGTAAGCTGTGAAGCTGGGAAGCACGAGTCCTCCAGCTTTGTTCTTCTCGTCCAAGACGGTTTGATCTTGTTGGCTGGGGCATGACCTGGGTTGTGAGTGTGAGTGCAGCGGCAGGCTCAGCACACCCCTAAAGACACACTATCCTCCTGTGTCTTAGCGACTCCTTGTCTAAGTGAGGGAGACTTCCTATGGGAACATCATGGTAGTGGCCGGGCCTCTGAGTGACACAAGTTTGGGGAGCTCATCTGGTTCTTGGGAAATAAATGACCTTGTGGGGCAATCAGAGTGAGCTTCCTGGAGGAAATCACATTCAGTAAGGATTTACACTCCTGACCATCCAGTTCCACCACATGCGGCTGTGCAGCTCTGGACAAGTCGCTCAAGCTCTCTGAGCCTCAGCTTGTCCATTTGCCCCAAGAGGCCAATGACGCCATGTCCTTTGAGGCCCAGTGACCTTTGATTGGTCCCAGTTCCTCAGGAGTGGTGCCCAGAGCCTTGGGGGGCACTGAGACCGATTTCTTTTTCCCTCCCAGGAATTTATGTTGGACAAAATGGAGACGGTGAGAATGATCTCGCTGCTCACGGAACCCAGCAAGTGCTGCTCAGGGGACAGTCGCAAGAACCAGAGGCCCAGAAGCTACCTGGGATCCTTGGGGAGGAGCCCGGGGAGACAGGACCCCACACCCAGGACCCCCTTTCCCAGTGCTAGGACTTCCGAGTGCTCCAGCTTGTCCTAAGCCACCACAGCCTCCTGACCCTGCAGCATCATGACCCTTCCCTCACGCCTCAGCCTGCTTGCCGTGCCACCTTCATCCTGGGGGGTGGGGAGGGTGGGACAGAGTGAGAGGGCGGGTAGGGCGCTAGGGCCAGCTGGGATTCAGATGGGTCTTACTCTACCACACCAGTTGTCTCCTCGTGTCATGTGCCGAGACCCTCCCATGGATACCAAACCCCGTGTGGCCCCAGGCCCTTACAGAGAAGGCAGCAGCATGTGGCCCAAGCCTGACCAGCCTCCCAGACCTTCAGATCATGCCTCGGTGACTTATGTTAGCTAACACACTCTATGTGTTGTGTGAACAACTGCCCGACCACATTTTTAGGAAACAGTAGCAAGAAAAAAAAGGGTCTGTGCATGTTTAATACAAATCCAATTTCTTAATTTGAGAAGCAGTAACACAGAGAAAGAAAGGTGCCCGAGTGTGCCCATCTGCTGGCCTGTTCCTCAGATGCCCGCAAAAGCTGCCCCAGGGAGCCAGAAACTCAACTAAGGGCCCTCTTGGCAGTCAAGGACTCAGCTGCTGCTTGGGCCATCCCTGTTGCCCCCCACCCCAGGCACAGCATGAACAGAAAGCTGCAGTCAGAAACCAGAGCTGGGGACCAAATCCAGGACTTGCACATGGGATGTGGGTGTCTGACCCGCTGGGCCAGCCGCTCTTCCCTGCTCACACAGATGGGAGCCAACAGGACACTAAGCCACACTTCTAAGTGTGGGGATCGTGGCCCTGGGAGGAGAAGCAGCTCAGGGTAGGACCTTCCTGTGTAGTAAAGTGTGTTGTCAAGCCCCAGGCTCCATCACAGGTGCCCCCAGTCTTGGCTTTAACCTGGTCATGTGACTCACTTTGACCAATAAGAGGTCACCAGATTATGACCTCAGTAGAGACCTGAAGCACCATCAGGCAGGGCTGTTCCCACTGATCATGGCCATGAACCTGGCTATGAATACATACAACCCAACCTGCGGCTGGGCTGCACCACCTTGTCCAGTCCTCGGCCAAACCTTCAGGTCCACATGAGAGGAGTAAACACTTGTAGCTGTAAGCCAGCGGCAGGTGGAGGCTGTCGTACTCAGCGGCTAACTGCACCGCACACTGTTCAACCTCCACATGGTCCTGGTCCCAAGAATCGCTCTAGCTCGGTAACAGCCTCACTTGATAAGTGTGAACCATCCCTCAGGGATGTTCAGGGGTGTTGGGCGGTGAGTGGCGGGGATCCCTGCACCCTGCCCACTATGGTGGTTCTACAGTATGTGTGATGTACCTGTTGGACTTTCATAATCAGAAAAAAATGGGAACCAATTCTTGGCATCCTAACCTTGGTGTCCCCAAGAATGAGGTACATGATGCAGGTGTCACTCACAATGGCCAGACAGGTACTGTGGGAAAGCCTTGGAAGAGGCTTCCTTGCCAAGGCTTCTGCCAAGAGGTGCTGGGCACACCCACCTTCATCCGACCCGCAACTCTGGGGCTGGGGTCCCCGCCTTGCGACACTCATGAATCAGGAGCAGCTGGGGCCCTTGAGAGACCACGAAGTGGCCTGCATTCTAGCATGAGGCCTGAGCAGCCTGGACAGTGGTGACATTGGACAGCATGGATCTGCTCATTCCTTAGGTCATCCCTGCTCCCAGAACAGGATCTGGGAGAACAACAGGCCTCGTGGTGTGGGGATGCCAGCTCTCTCATCAGCCATGTACCTACTGCGAGCTGAGAGAGGCAGGGCCATGGTTGGCAGGGGTGGCCCCGGTTCCAGTTGCAGGGCTGAGGGAAGGGTGGGTTAGGATTTCCTCCTGTGCTGACCACCCTTCCCTCACCCTTCTCTCCACACCTCCTCTATGCAGCCCTCCGCCATGCCTCAGACCCCTGTTCAAGGCCCCTGAGAGAGTCTAGCCCAGGTTACAGCCTCCTCTGCTCGGAACAATCTCAGAAAACAGGCTCTGTCTCGGGGCACCTGGAGTGGGGCCTGGCACAGAAGAGCCCTCAGGGAATTGCAGGGGGTGAGCACGTACCCAGAGCCGGGGGGTGGCATAGGACTGATGTCACTGGTGCCTCTGCAGCCCAGATCCTGGTACCACGGTTGGAGTCTCACCTCCACTCCCAGTTCCAGCTCCCTGCTGATGCCCTCCTTAGCAGGCAAGTGGGTCCCTGCCACTTACGTGGGTCCCTGCCACTCCCTGGGTGGAGTTCCCAGCCTCTGGCTTCATCCTGGCCCAGTCCTGTCCACTGGGAGCATTGGAGAGTGAACCAGGAAGGGAAGATCTCTGGCTAACCGTATCTGCCTTTCAAATCATTCTTTTAAAAATGAATGAATGATGAATAAGAAATGAAACTCCCTCCTCTAGAAATCCCTCACTTTTATATTCTTATACTTTCTAAAAGTCTTCATTTAGGAATTAAAAAAAAAAAAAAAAGCTTTCACTTTCAGGAAGCGGAAGGCAGAACTACAAAGAGGGACAGAGAGCGACATCTCCATCCTCTGGTCTCCTCCCCAGATGGCTGAAACAGCTGGAGCTGAGCCAGGAACCAGGAGCCTGGAACTCCATCCGGGTCCCCCACATGGGTGGCACAGGCTCAAGGATTTGGGGCGATCTCCCACTCATTTTCCTAGGCTATCTGCAGGGAGCCGGATCAGAAGCGGAGCAGCTGGGACTCCATTGGTGTTCGTTTGGGTTGCTGCTGCAGGGTCTGGCTGGCCTGAAACCCAGGGTGCTTTGCTGAGTCACAGCTTTGCAAATTCATCCCCAGCCCTTTTTAGGGCACAAGACAGTGGAAGTTGAGGCCTGGGAGCCTGATGCAGGTCCAGTGTTTCTTGGTGGTTTTGTGTTCTGGCAGAGAATTCTGTCAGTGACGTGACATCCTGTTTGGGGTGCCCTGCGCTAGGACAAAGGCCTCGTTTTGAAGCTGCACTTCCTGTTCTGCCTGGCGGTGCTCAGGGGGCTGGTCCCAGGGGCACCTTGACCTCAGGGCTCAGGAAGCTTGCACCAGCCACTGCCAGGCTGAACTTCTCTCTTTGTGTCCAGGGTCACAGACAGTGGCCAGGGGTCACTTTGAGCTGTCTGTTGTAGGCTGTACCTCTCATCTGTTGAACAGATGGGACCCCACTCCCTGGCTTCCTTTGACTCTACCCCTAGCCCCCCACCAGGTCTCCTGTACGCCCCCTCCTGCTTTTGGACTCTGCCCCACTCTGGTCCTGCCTGGTCCCCGACGGCAGCCTCTGGTCTGGCCTTCTGCTCTCACTCTTGTCCCCTCCAATCCATTCTGTCCCCAGCAGCCACTGCCTTCTCTTAGAAAAGCAACATCAGCCACATCTACCCTCGCTCTTGCGCCTTCTGTGGCTTCCTGTTGCCCTTAAATTGCAATCCTTTTCCCCTGGCCCTGGCCACCTCTCCACGCTGATATGGAGGGCTTCTCTCCCGATCTCCAGTCAGACTGACCTGTTTTAGTTCTAGAATCTACTTCGATCCTCTGACTAATCCTCCTAACACTGTCCCCCTGCTATTCCCACCCCATCTCCAATGTTTTCTTCGACTCATTCATCCAGTGTGTTTTTCTTTTAAAACAACTTAATACTTTTGTTCATTTGAAGAGTAATGTTATAGAGAGGGGGGAGAGATAGATTTTCCATCCACTTGTTCACACCCAAAAGGCTGATACAGCTTGAGCTGAGCCAGGCTGAGGCCAGGAGCCACAAACTCCATCCAGGTCTCCCATACAGGTGGAGGGGCCCAAGCTGTCCCAGGCGCATTAGCAGGGAGCTGGATTGGAAATGGAGCAGCCAGGACTAGAACTGGTGCTTGTAGGTGTGCCATCATGGCAGGTGGCAGCTTAACTTGCTGCACCACAGTGCCAGCCCCATGTAGTTCATCCTCAGTGCTGTGTTAGGCACTGGGTATACTGCACAGCCCTAGTCCTCAGCCTCCTGGGCTTACTGTCCAATAGCAGTCATGGTCCATGTGGTAACTAATAGTTCAGGCATCACCAGGTGCTAAACAAGAGGCTATGGGGTGGGGACAGGGATGAGAAGGACGTGTCAATCGCAGACCCCTGCTCCTTCAGCACGCCACCCAGAAGCCCTGCTCTGAGATGGAAAACTCACTCCCCTTGGCCACTGTGCTGCTCTGTACTTTTATTAAGAGAATCGGAGCTGGCCCTTTCCCCACCCTCGCTTACCCAGTCCCTGCTCCCCGACACACATACGCTGTCCCCTTCCTTCCCAGCATGTGCCACAGTCCACAGCTAAACACTGACTCACGTGATGCAGGTTCACTCGGGGGAAGTGGCCACAGCACCAGCTCAGTTCATACAGTCACCAGGGGCTGTGTCTTTAACCCCGCTAAGAACCTGCACCGAGAGTAAGGGATCATTCTAGAAATTTATGTCACCTAACAAGTTGGCTCAGAGAGCAGCAGTCAGGGGTCCTGTGAGTGCTTAGCCTCGGCGAGGTCCCGGAGTTCAGGGTCTCTTTGCTCCAACGCAGGTGGCCAGGACCCTGGTCTCTCCTGAAGGTCAGTGTGGGGACCCTCACCAAACACGGTCACGGTCACCCATCTGGCCCCAGGGCAGGCTGTGCCAGGCTTGAGCTCTGGCTGCCTGAACCCTGGCAAGGTGAGGTTTCAGAGCCCACAGCTGAGTGACAGGCTGGAGACGGGACCCACCAGGTGCCTGCCTGGGGATTCCCTTGAGACCTGTCCTGGGTTGCTGCTTGGCTGGGCAGATACCTCCTCCCGTTAGGAAAGTTCCAAGGGAAGGAGAAACATTGCAGTGTGCCCAGCCTGGTGGGCTGGGAAATAAAATCCCATGGATGGGCAGGGCAACGAGTGGAGGAGGGCTTCCTCCTGGTTCTTCCAGGGACCCCTGTGTGCTGTGTGGCTTTGGGCGGCTCACCCCCTACAGTGACTGCAGGCACCGCCCCCATCCCACCCCACCGGGGGCAGCAGCTGTGAGCATGGCCACCGGGCTGCAGATGCACCTGAAGCCTGGGTTACTGTCCCAGGTACCTGTCTTTGGTCTTGTTCACCCCCTGCCTACACATACAGTGGTTTGAAGGGAGGCAGCAAGAGGCCTCGGCAAGGCCAGAGCCGGTTGTTCCCTTGGGTAGTACTTGCTGCCTTTCTCCCAGGGTCTGGCAGGTCAGGCTCAGTGCCAGTAAGGAGTGCCTCTGGCGGGCCACCTGCTTCTCAGCCTGCTGGGATTATAGAAAGTTCTCCCTCTTCTACAATTCTCCAATCTCCAGCCCTGCTGGGCCACCTCTTAGCAGCCATGGGCAGCTTCTCTGGCTTCCTTGGTTACAAAAACAAGAGCAGAAACTGTACCCCCTACTCCTGCCTCCCTAGTGAGAACAGGACATTAGCCTCAATACGACCACAATCAGGCAGAGTACACCCGGGGCTCTGGAACTGCGCTTAATGTTCAGATGGTGAGTAGGATCCTGCTAGTGCTGGGCTCAGTCCCTGGCACTGGCTGTTGCCTCAGTTTCCGGCTAATGTAGACCCTGGAGGGCGGTGGCAGTGGTCCGCCTAAGGGAGTCTGGGTTCCTGTGCGCTCCTGGGATACCTGGGTGGCGTTCCCAGTTTCATCTCCAAGCATTTGGAGAGCGCTCTGCCTCTCAAATAAAAATGAAAACAGCTCTGGACCCCAACTGTCCAGGACTGACTTAGGGAACTCCGCGAGGGTGCTGGGGGGATTGGGGCAGGTGAGCTAATGTTTCCCTGCCTTGGGTTTCCTCAGTCCCACGCCAGGGGTAATACCAGCAGGACCTGCCCCAGGCAATGGGTGCCCGTTAACCGAGCAGGGCAGAAACCCGCTAAGTCAAAACCGCACCCCCAGGCACCCTGCAGAGCGCCCTCGCCCCGGCGCACTCCAGAATCCCCTGCGCCCACACTCCCGCACAAAATGACCCATCCATCCAAATCCGAAGCCTGGGACTGGGGCTCTGGCGCACGCCGCTTTCCTACCCCTCACAGCTGGAACTCCTGGGCAGAACCGCGAAGGAACCCAGCCCGCGAGGGCGATGCCGCCCGACCCCGAGCGAGCCCCTCTACCCCGCCCGGGGAGCCTCTGGAGGATGGCCAGCGTGCCCCTGCTTGGGGCTGGGGTAACGAGCTTGCACGCAGTGACTCACCCGCACCTGCTTCCAAGTGTATACCTCAAGGACAGCCGGGCAGCCACAGCGTCGGCTACCCCGGACGTGCATTCCCGCGACAAGCTTTAATTGGGGAGCGTGATGACTGCTGATGCCCGAGTTGGACTGATAGAATATTATTTGGAAGCCACCCGGGTAAGTTTAAGTCACCGCACACGTGTTCCCTAAGTGCGCGCCCTCCGATCTGGAGCAAACTGTATTCCTGGTGACCTTGTTCGTGGATTAATGAAGGCCAACTAGCCGGCCAGTAGACTTCAGTTTGCAGCTTGGGTCGGAAGCCTTTACAAACGCGGATCCGACTCTCTGGGTTGGGCTAACTCCTTAGCTAGTTAAAAGCTTTCTGTGGCTTTAAAAGGGGGGCGGTACCCTGTCATCTGGGCCCTAAAGCATAGGCTGACACCGCGTAAAGTCCCACCCACTTTCTGTGACGTCCAGTGTCCCGGCTTTTGATTGCCCGCTTGCGACGTCGATCGCGGGGGCGTGTGTCTTGCTGGGACACAGTGGAGGGCTAACCTTTGGCTTGCGGAGCGGTCGGGTGTATTCCCCACTCGCCCCCCACGCCCTCGAGGTCCCCGCCGCCCGACCCAACGGCGGAGCCGGCCAGCACCTCCCGAGGCTTCCTCCGGCGCCGGGTCGCTCCTCTCCGGAGCGGAACCTGGCCCAGCGGCTCCGGTCACTATGGTCAGTGGTCGGGGGGGGGGGGGGGGGGGAAGGGGACGCCATCGGGGGGCAGTGGGAAGGGGCTACTGTGGGCGGGGTCGCCGCCAGGACGCATGTGCACTGGCAGGCCGGCGGGGGTTCGGGCGCTGGATTCCGCCCCATGCGGTCCCTGTGGTTTTCGGATCCCTGCGAGTGTGGCGTCCCCGGGGCGCGTTCCTCCGTCCCCCGCGCGCGGCCCACTAGGGAGATCCAGGTCAGCTCGCTGCCCGGGCCCGAGACCTCCCCAGGTAGGCGCGCTGGGCTGGAGCGGGGACTGGGAGGTTCCAGAGCTGCGGGTGGTCCCCTCTTTGTTAGGCGCCCCTAATAGGTAGCTCCCGGCCCCACCCATCCGAGGTCCCCGCTGTCACTAGAAGACCACCTTACTCAGCCTCTAACTTCCCGCGTCCCCAGCTCTGGTCAGCTGGGTGAGTGACCCCAGAGGCTACTTGGGTGGCCAGGTCGCCTGTCCCTATGTGTTGCAGCAGACCTACTCCATCCTGGGTGTCTCCACGTCTTTAAGATCCACAGGCAGAGGCTGATATGAGTTGGGGGGAGCTCCCAGAAACTGCTGAGCCAGACTCCCGTGAAGCAGAAAGGACCAAGGGAGATCCTCTAAGCCAGGGTGGGAAACAGACCAGTGAGGGAAGGGTTCTTGGACTAGAGCTTTCTGTGTTGAATCCACCCAAGTCCCAGGTTGCCCCTGGGGAGCTGGGTGTGGGCGGCTCTCCAGGTCCTGCAGCTGGGTGGGAGGCTCCCAGGGGGCTGGGTGTGCAGGCAGTGTGGCTTGGAGTCCCACAGCTCTGAATCAGCCATCTCACCTCAGCTTGGGATGCTTGAGGTTGTGCTGGGTCCATTTTGCTCCCCGGGGACGGTGCGGAGCCCCAAGCTCTCCAGTCACACGATGGGCGTGGGTATGTACAGGTGCCTGGGCCTTCGAGCTGGGCTTCCTCCTTCCCTTGACTGGGACACCAGTGCAGGATGCTGTGGGGCTGGGGCATGGATTGGAGCCTGGGCACTTCCTGGCAAGTTCTGAGCCTGGCGGGGGTGGCCAGGGCACCTGAGTTGGGCTATCCAGGGCAGTCCAACCTGCTACCGAGGTGTGGCCAGGGGCCTCTGGGCATCTGGGCAGTGCCCAGTTTCCTGCTTCTACTGGGGGCCCAAGGGCTTACCTGGCTGTGTTGCATCACCCTCTGGGACAGGAACTGAAGGTTGGCATGCCCTAGGACCAGCCTGAGTAAGGGCCTGGGACTCTTCTACCCTGGGAAGCCACTGCCAGTTGCCTCACACCTGCTGGACCCTCCCAAGTTAGAGGCCAGATGGGCCCAGTGCACCAAGCCTTTGCCCCTCATGGGGACCTGGGAGTCTCCAGGATGGGTACAGTGCCTGGCAACCAAACAGGGCACCCGCTGAGAGCCATGAGGAGCAGGCAGACACATGAAGGCTCTCTCGGGCTCACAAGGCACCACGGACCACGTGGTGGTCTTTTCAGCTTGTGAAGCCTGTGTGGTGTGGGTAGTAGTAAGTGTCGGGGTGGGGACAGGTGAACATGTCCCTGGGAAGCATTTTCTTCACTCTCCTATCTCAGATGCCCTGGCCTAAACTTAAGGGTGGATCTCAGCTACAGGCCAAGGTCGGGGACGGACAGTAAACATGGGACTGCCACTGACGGGGGCTGCTGACCAGGAAGGGTCTGTGCTTCCTCCAAGTTTGGGTGACATTTGGTGACTGATCACCAGGGTCGGACCCAACTGGCAGAATGGTCCTGTTCTGCTGTGTTCTGTCGTTTGTCAGATAAGCCCTGCTGGTACCCCATCTGGCTGAGCTGGACTGGGCTCAGAGAGACCAGGTGTGTGCTCTGTCCTGCCCAGGACTCCAGACTACTGCTGGCCAGGTCATGGCTGGACACAGGAGCCCTCTGGCTATGGGTCATGGCCTGTGAGGAGCCCAACAGGAAGTCAGTGTTCTCTGAGGGGCGGGGAGTGTCTGGGAAGGATTGGGTATAGAAGGATGTCCAGGAGTGTTCTGGAAGGATTGGAGGAGTAGAGTTTTCTGAGCAGGGTGATGAGGGGTCACAGGTCAGGCGTGGGGTGTTCTGAGAAAGGTGTCAGTTCTTCAGAAGTGGAGAGAAGCCGGGCCGGGGGGGGGGGTGGTTGAGGGAAGGGCTCGGCATACTGTTGCTGAAGCCTGGGGTTCCGCAGGGGCCTGGGAGCCACAGCCTGTCTTTGACCAATCAGACGTGACTAGCATGGACTGTCCCTCCAGCAATGGACACAGCGCTGGAGGGGAAGACCTGCTCATTCCTTTGCCACTTGCCATGCTGGTCTGCCCAGGGGCCACAGAGCAGTAGACAGAGAACTTCAGAAAGCCAAGGTCAAGGCTGGGCAAGGCTGTGCTGCCCATGAAGGCGCTGGGGAGGGACGTGTCCTGGGTTCTCTCGGCTGTTCTGCTGTGTACCGCTGTCCCCTCTGGTGAGGATGCCACAGGTCCTGTGGGATTGGGGACCCACCCCAGTCAGGACAGCCACAATGACCCTATTCTTGAATCAGATCCTGTTCAGAATTCTGCAGTGAAGGCTTCAACTTACGCAGTTTGGGGACACAGCTTGCCCCATGGCACTCAGCACACATGCTTGATTTTTTGAAGATGTATTTTAATTGAAAGGCATAGTGATACAGAGAGAGAGTGAGAGATCTCCCATCTGCTGATTTACTCCCTATATTGGCCTCAACTGCCAGGGCTGAGCCCGGCCAAAGCCAGGAGCCTGGAGCCCCATGTAGGGCTTTGTGGGTACAGGGGCCCCAGCCTGTGGGCCATCCCCTGCTGCTCTCCCAGGAGCAGCAGCAGGGATGAAGTCAGAGCAGAGCAGCCGGGACTTGAACTGGCATTTGAATGGCATGCTGGCCTCGCAATTAGCAGTTTAACTCGCTGGGCCACAACACTGGCCTGTCTGAGCACATTTCTAGAGGATGAGTGCTGTGCCAGCACCTGGGGAAAGGCCAAGTCACTGCCCACGTGGGGCTGACAGCCTTCCAGAGGAGGACAGAGCAGAAACAGGGGACCCTCCATCAGGTCAGGCCCTGGTCAGGGGATGGGGAAAGAGGAGAGGGGAGCTGGAGGGCATCTCTGAGGAGGTGATATCAGCTCGGGCAGGTGGAGAGGCAGGGGCAGTCCAGCTTGCAGGAGCAGCATGTACAAAGGCTCTGAGCTGGACCCGGGTGGGTCTTGAGGGAGCGACAAGGAGAGGGCTGGGGTGGCTGGAACTAAGGGGACCCAAGGGGCCAGCCCTGCAGGTCATCTGTGGTCATGTCCTCACCCAGTTTGAGGAAACCATTTGAGACCGTCTTAGTCTGTCCTACACTGCTGCCCCCTGAATACCACAGACCAGAGCTTTCCATGAAGCCCCCTGGCCTGTGGGTCTGGAGCCCAGGAAGGAGGCCCAGTCCTGGGGCACTGTGCTGGCTGAGGGCTTCTCGCCACATCATACCATATGGAAGGTCACTCAGCAGAGAGTAGGGGAGGGCACAGGGTAGGTGCACTTCCGCCATGGTGGCAGGGGTGAAAGCAGGAGCTTTCTTTTCCTTCCTCTTCTTCTTTAGATTTATTTTTATTTTTGTTAGATTTACAGAAAGAGAAGGGGAGATAAAAATATCAATCTATTGGTTCACTCCCTGAAGAGTTGCAATGGCCAGCACTGAGGCCAGGAGTCAGGAACTTCTGGGTCTCCTATGCAGGTGCAGGGGCTCAAGGCTTTAGGCCTTCCTCCACTGCTTTCTTAGGTAATAATCAGGGAGCTGGAAGGGAAGTAGAGTAGCTGGGACATGAACCAGCACCTATATGAGATGCTGGCATTTACAAGGGAAGGATTAACTGACCGAACCACAGGTCCAGTAAGTAAACTTTTTAAAACACAGCAAGTAAAATGGAAGAACTTTCTGTCCCACCTCATCAGCCTGGCCATTATGGCCCATTTCTATCAGTATTTCCTCTAGGGAGAAGCACCTGGAAAGTGCCAGCCCCAGCAGCAACCAGCATCTGCCATCACTCGATGACAAACCCAATGACTACTTTTGCAGTCTTAGGCACTGCTAAGCAGCACCCACTGCTGGGACCAGGTTTATGTCTTAGTCTGGCTGTGCTTCTGTGACAGAGTGCTGCAGACTGGGAAGTTTATGGTAAACAGGAAGGTGTTTGGAAGTGAGAGGCCCAACATCATGGAGCTGGTACATGCAGTGGGCTTCTTGCTGCATCCCACCATGATAAAAGGCAGCATCATGTGGGGCCGGCACCATGGCATGTCAGACTAAGCCTCTGACACCTGTAGCACCACATGCCGTATGAGCACTGGTTTGAGTACCAGCTGCTCCATTTCCAATCCAGCTCCCTGCTAACGTGCCTGGGAAAGCAGCAGAAGATGGTCCAAGTGTTTGGGCCCCTGGGAGACACAGAGTAGGAAGGCCTCTCTCCATCGCTCTTTCTCCCTCTGTAGTTCTGCATATCAAATTATTAACATTTTTTTTCAAGATTTATTTAATTTTATTGGAAAGGCAGATCAGATTTATGAAGAGAAGGAGAGACAGAGGGAAAGATTCCGTTTGCTGGTTCAGTCCCCAAGTGGCCACAACAACCAGAGCTAATTAATCTGAAGCTAGAGGCGAGGAGTTTCTTCTAGGTCTCCCACATGGGTGCAGGGTCCCAAGGCTTTGGGCCGTCCTCCACTGCTTCCCAGGGAAGCATAGGAGCATTCATCGGGGCTGAGTTGCACCCCAAATACCTGCTGAAGTCCCTGACTTTTAATACAGCTATGCTGGCCATGTCGTCGCGAGGTTGGGAGGATACAGATACTCAGTCCATAGCGGAGGTTAGTTAAGAAAGGGTGTGCCTTTGGAGAATGGATCAGGATGGAGGTGGGAGTGGAAGCCAGAAGGTCAGTCTGTTTGTTGCTGCATCTTGCGAGTGAAGAGGATAGTGACTCAGATTGGATC